GCGAGGCACTGTGGCAGGGGCGACACTTTCTCGATGCCACAAGGAGGGGCGCTGGGGGTGCTGTCGCTTTCCGATTCGGGCTCGCAAAGCATGGCAGGTGTAGCACTTTCTCGGTGCCATAAGGGGGTGCGCTGGGGGTGCGGTCGTTATCCGTTTCGGGCTCGCAAGGTATGGCAGGCGCGGCATTATATCGACGTTACAGGGAGGGGTCATTGGGGTGCGGTCGCTATCCATGTCGGGTTCGCAAAGCGTGGCAGGCGTGTCTTTTCTTCCACTCCACAGGGGGGTGCGCCGGGGGCGCGGTCGCTATCCGTTTCTGGCTCGCAAGGCATGGCAGGCGCGGCATTTTCATGATGTCGCAGGGGGTGCCTTGGGAGTGCGGTCGCTATCCGTTTCGGGCTCGCAAAGTGTGGCATGCGTGGCACATCCTCGATGCCACAAGGGGGTGCGCTGGGGGTGCGGTCGCTATCCGTTTCGGGCTCGCAAAGCGTGGCAGGCGTGGCACTTCCTTGACACCACAGAGGCTGCGCTGGAGGTGGTCTCCCTATCCGTTTCGGGCTCGCAAAGCGTGGCAGGGGTGGCACTTCCTCGACACCACAGGAGGTGGCCTATGAGCGCGGCATCGACTCTTTGCGCGACGTGGAAGGCCCAGCCAGCTGGTGTGGTCAAGGTGGCGGTTAGCCAGTAACGCCCAGGGTTTTGTCCTTCCTGGACCCCCTCAGGGTACTCAAGGATTGACCGGCGCCACCGACTGCATCGGCGAAGCAACGGCCGCCTGCATCATTCTCGCAAGTTTCACGTCAGCTATCAACACGCCAGCGGTATGGGCTCCTCGGTAGCGTAAAGATTTGTATGTGTCTTATGCTTGTTATGTTTCTTACTTGTAATCAAGCGTTTATTACCATTAGTATTATTGGTATTACGATTACCGTTATTATTAATATTGCTATGACTGTTCTTAATATTATTAGGCCTATTACTACTGTCGTTATTTATGGGATTATATTCCATACTATGATGAATGTGATGATTAGTACTACGTGCTCATGAGTATTGCAATCAATGCTACTATCTGATGTGATTCTTAGTAATGCTAATATTCGTAATATTCTGAACATTCGTATCATTATTCATATCATTAGTCGTTTTATTCGTCCCATTTCCTTACTAGTAGACAGAGTACTATGATTATCATTAATATCATTATTATTAATATGCATATGCTTATTAGTTGCTTCCTTATGTATCACAGTAGTATCCTTCTTCCACCTCCTCATCTCCCTCCTCCCCCTTCTCTTCCTCGTCCTCGTCCTCGTCCCCCTCCTCCTCTTCCTCCTCCTCTTCCTCCTCGTCCTCGTCCTACTCCTCCTCCTCCTCCACCTCCTCCGCTTGTTCATGATGATGATGATGATGATGACGATGACGGAGACGAAGGCGATCACGATAACGATGACGATGCCGATAGCGATAACGATTGCGATGATGATGCTGATAATGTTGCTGATGATGACGTTGATGATGATGACGGTGGTGGTGGTGGTGGCGATGGCGATGATGATGGTGATGATGATGATGATAATGATGATGATAATGATGATGATGATGAAGATGATGATGATGATGATGATGATGCTGGTGATGATGATGATGATGATGATGATGATGATGATGATGATGATGATGATGATGATGATACTGACGGAGCAGATGTTGAGAATGTCTCGGGCGAGGTGCTGGCTTGAGCACTCCCAAGGGGAGGCCACCATGGGGTATCTCACTCCTCCGTTCGCGCCCATAATGCGAGGAAGTCTCGAGCGGTTTGCCTGGTTGCGTGCCCAACACATGTTGCCTTCGGAGCAAATGTTAAGGATGTCTCGGGCGAGGCGCTAGTTTTCGCACACCCAGGGGGGGCGCCAGGGGGTAACTCACTCCTCCGTTGGCGCCCAGATTGCGGGGATGTCTCGAGCGGTGGCGCCAGTGGGGCTCAGGAGGCAAGCGCGGCCAGACACCAGTCTCAACGCCAAAGCCGAGGAGGACACAGCCCGGCCTAATTTTTCCAAGGGGGCGGGCCCGTCGGCAGAGCGCGGCAAACCATTGCCCAATTCGGATGCACATGGTCCGAGATTTGCCACCAGGCACGACGAATAGGGCACCCGCCTGTCATAAATCCAGCTGCCAGCCGGGCTTTTCACATTTTTCGGGCGGCACAGCGGAGAGCACTCCTCCGCCGAATCCCAAGCACCAGGCACGACCTTGGCGCAGTCGCCGCTGTCACGCAGGGCCCTGACTATTTTGCCAAGACACAGCTCCTCTTAGTTAAAGGGAAGGCCACATGTACCGCCTGGCAAGTTGGCCTCCTCTGTAACAACCTCTGCGGGGTTGGCCCCACCCAGCAAACGAAAATGAAGGCTGGTATTTCGGCCGACCCGTCTCCCTTGTGCAGATGGTGGGACCAAGAAGTGGGAACACAGTAGCATGCAGCGTGGAGATACCATTGCAAGCAAACTGGAAGATCTCGGACACGCACCAGACACTGCGGCCTGCTGGAAGGAGAACCCGACTTCCTCGACCTACAGGCTGCCGCGGCCGATGACGAGCTTTTGCGGCCCATCCCAAGACCACAACCGGAGGACACTCAGAAGGGAACCCGCATCAGGAATACACCGACGACCCGGGAGCCCGATAAATTTATGCTGCTACGGACGCCGCCTGCTCTCACGAAGCCCAGAGCGGGTTTGGGCGTGTACTGCGGTCCAAACCGCGGGCTCAACCATTCTGCCCGTGCACGGTCTGGCACACTTGGCGCAGTGGGCCGAAACGCTTGCCGTGCTCCACCTTGTCGCCACGGCAGAACGACCAGTGCATGTGTTTGTCGACAACCAGGCGGTCGTTGACGGGTCCGAGCGCCTCCTCAGGGGTAAACCACCGCAGCGAGAGGGGCCCCAAGCGGATCTCTGGCACAAAATCCGCCGGGCATCGCCGGCTAAGCCGGACTTTTCAAAGTCCAGAAAAGCTGGAAAATCATCTGGGGGAGCTAGGCACCAATGAAAGGTGCATCACTCCGATCGTTGCAACCGTCAGCCGACGCGTTGATGAACTCGACACTGCAGGGGTGCGGCTCCAGTGTCCCACGAGGCCTGGTCGACACTGTCCAATGGCGACGCCCAGTTTGCCACTGTCCTCTATAGCACGACCGTCGCCATGCACGACCGGCGACATCGGACGCTCCCCGCGCCACACAAGAGAGCCCCGCATTCCAGGCGAGGAAATGACACCGAACCCGCTCACCATCGGCAGGGGGGGGCCAAAACACAACAAGAAGGACCACCTCCTCCCAGAGGTCCACAAGGCCCGCACCATTTCGGCGAACTCGACGACCCCTGGACGACACCACCGGACAACTGCGAAGAGGAGCACCTCGACCCGCTCGGGCTTGGGGCATCGCTACACGATTGCGGAACAAACGACCTACAACACAATCGAGGGCGAGCCCGACGTGCGAAACCGTGCTTTATTTTGTCATTCTCTCTCTCTCTCTCTCTTTTCTCTTGGACAGTCAACGACCGCCCAGGAGCGCCAGAGCCCGGTGCTTACCCCGAACCCCCACTTCGACCTTCCCATTCGGCCCACAAGGGTTCCGACGGGAAGGCCGAGAGGCTAGGGATGACGGCCACCACGCCAACGGTACCACCCGAAGCATAGACCGTAGGCAAACCCCTAGAAACGTCTCTTTGCGGCGAACAATCAACACCAAAGTGGCCGCCAGACCACTCGCACCGACATCTGTCAGCGCTCCATCCCCGACCCAACGAATTGGCTGTTTCCCTTCACCAGATTCAGTGACAGTCCGCCCTGTTGCTCGACAGAGGTCAAGGGTCCCTGGGACACACAAATAAATACACACAAATAAAAAGATTCCCCATATTTTCCTATATTTTCTGGGTGTTTGTCTTCCCCCCCACTTCTCGTATTTTCCCATACTTTCTGGGGAATCGACGATGAATTGTGTCTGTGTGTTTTTTTCCCTCCTGAAGAGGTCGGGGGAACAGGGCGGCCATGCTTTTCGGCCCGCAGTGGCCCTGGGAGAGCGTCCCTCCAAGGCAACCTCCAAGCCCTTGTCGACGCTCAGCGTGCGGCACACCCAGTGTGGGAGGCCTGGAAATGGGCACCAACACCAAGACAGAGGGCTGCCTCCACAGGGGGGAGGTGATCCTAGATTTCGGTGTTGGTGGTAATATTTCGGCCACCTTGGAAGCCAGAATATTACCACCATCACCGAGATCGGGATCTTCTTCCCTCGGTGGAGGAACACCGCCGATCTTGGTGTTGGTGTCAACCTCTAGGCCTGCGACAGTGCTTAGCACCCCGCCCCACCTCAGGGCCGCGGGAACAACTGGAACCCGCCCTGCCGCCTGCTCTCCCTCGGAGCCGCGACGGGGGGGCCCCCAGGGCGGTGCCGTTCCCTGTTTCCCGTGCCCCGCATCGCGCATGCCCAAACCGCGTGTGCAGGCGGCGCCAGCGTCACGGATTGCAAACGGGTCCTCGAGCGACCTGATCACCGCATACCCCCATTGCATTGCTTTCCAGCCGGGGCCACCTCTAGGCCGGGCCCAAAGGGGGGTCATGCGACCACCCCTGTTGCGTCAGCGGCACCTCCCGCCTTGGGAGGTGGGCCTGCGGGGCGCTTTGAAGCACCCGGGCGTGGACAAACCCTCGTGCGAAGTGGTACGTGATTCTCTCTCTTCCTAGCTTCCTCCTCTCTCCTCGCCTCCCCAGCTATACCGATTTGCACTATACCCTGCCCGGCGCTCGTCCCGAGCCTCACTCGCCCTCCCTCACCTCCTCTCTTCTGTCCCTCTTCCCCCTTTGCCCTCCCGCTCGCGTCCGTCCCCTCCCTCCCCCTCTAGCTCGCGCCCCCCCCCTCAAAAGCAGACCCACGCGCCGAACGCGCGCGCGCGCTGTTCTTGCCCACGAGCGCCGGTTTTTCAGGCACGCCCGCGGTGCCAGAGTTGCACTGATGATGAGGAGGAGGACGAGGAGGAGGAGGAGAAGGCAGGAGGAGGAGGAGAACTTGCGCAGACCATATATTCGTCAACGATATTGCAATAAATCTTCCCTCCAAGTATCTTTTTCATTGACACCTACAAAGACTCATTGTCACTTCAATCAATGTCCCATTGGAAGACAAACGTTAGAAAATTTTGAACTGCGCCAGAACACAATTCCTGGGATTTCATCGCCGCGAATCGCCGTCTCTGTTGCCTCATGACGATCCTCTTTCGTGCCAGAACAACATTCCTTGGACTTTGAGAGCAACATTTTGCAAAAAAGAAGCTCTCCATCCGTGAAAGTCTTGCAATGTTTCAACACGGATGCGCGCGGCGATAAGGCGAGAGCCAAATCTTGAAAACCGCCCGCCCTCCATCCGTGAAAGTCTTGCAATGTTTTAACACGGATGCGCGCGGCGATTAGACGAG